CATAATCATCAGACGTTTATTATCATTAGCCTATCATCACGTTAACTGCTCCTGTTATTTCTCGAGAATTCGTTGGAAGGAAACTATATGCTATAGTGGTCACCGAGCTGTAGATAAAGCCTTAAAAATTTCAAAAAATCGCAGCAATGCATTCTTAGATGATGACGTAGAGGAGAAGAATAAGCGTCGGACAATCAGCACAATGACGGAGTGCCACGAATGGCACCAATTATGAAAACATAAGCGAGATCACGTCACAAACTTACTTTTCTCCCTTTGGGATACAATATCAAAGGAAACTTCGAAAAAGATTGTTGGCCGAATAGCAGCCAGTGGTCAAAAACGCGTCGTTATGCCAGCTTACGGTACGAGACAGAACAGTGTCAACCGTTTTCTCGCTCGCTTGTTTGCCGATGGGCAGTCGGAGAAAATGCATGAACGTCACTGTCGGTTCTTCGTATGGTGTAGTACGTCACGTGACCACGTGATAGGTCGATCGATTGATCGTGCGATTTGGAAGCTGCCGTTAAATACGGTAGTCACTGATGCAATCGCAGTGGTCGACAACTGACCGGGTCGCCGGACAAGACGAAACCGGATCGGTATCGAAACGAAACGGTAAGAAACAAAGGTATGGCGGCGACGCATGCCAGCACACGCCTTGTTTCCGTTTCCAGTCACACCTCGATTGGACTGGGCAGCGCAAGCGACAAATGAACACTGTTTGCTTGCTGACCGCTGGTCGAGAACAGGTTGGACAACAATTGCATCGAACGTAAAGGAGGTAAAAGCTTCTTTCGATTGCCGATTCCTTCATGCTGCGGCGAAGGACAAATTAAATTTCGTTGTTTTACAGCAGTGGTCATGTGATCTGAGTGAGACAAGAGGAACAAGCATGGTGCCGAGGCGATGCAAAACCGCGATCAGCACATCATACCAGACACTGACCGTTTGGTGACCTGGACCGGTCAGACCTCGGTGACAAATCGCACCGACCGCAACATTTTGTGTTATCATAGTGCATGAAATTTTGCAGCCTGTTGGCACGGCTGACACTCGCCAGGGGAATTTCGTACAAGCAGGTCCCCCGATTCCGTCCAGTATTTTATCGACGTTTCATTTCTAGCCTTTGACGAACCGACACGTAACCGCAACGTAGCTGAGACACTGACGGCGTTTTTTCTTCAAAGGGGCGGACCGCTTTCGTCTCGACATCAGGCTATTGTTGAGGGCACTGTGACTTTTTCTCTGAGGATCGAACTTGTCGAACTTGAATCCGGCCACGTCAGGATGGTCTCATCGCTGAATGTCCGTGACTGTGGGGTCGCAGCCAACCTTATATTTAGACGCAGTTCCCCTATCCGTAACCTGGAGGCAAGCCAGACGACGGCCGGCAGATAAGTACACTTCGATGACCATCACCGGTAAACGCTTCCGGACACCATTCATTCCGCTGATTCAGACGCGCATCGCAGGACGACCACAGCACCGCTGCCGCCGGAGCATCAACGGCCGTCTCAAACCGGTTGAGACTCGTCGCAATGTAAGTTGTCGGCTGCTGCAGGCGTTGATGATTTTGATCGCCAGATGGCACGTTTCAACGGGCCAATCGCCGCAAAAATCTGACTATAAGATACGCCTACTGCGTCGCTTGCAACAGCTCGTCGT